ACAGCTAGCTTGTTAACTATCTGGAACAGAAACCTTTTCTGATGTTTTAAAATATACATTTCAATACACAATCCCATTTCTTCTAATACAACCACAGTTGATGCAAGTTGGAAATCTGCCACTATGCTGTAGAACTGTAAGCCCTGCAGTTCCGAACAAAGGATGATTTTATTCCTTTTTTCAGATCAAACTTGTAGTTATAACCTTTCCCATTTTGTGTTGAGCTGTCGCTTGCCAATCTACATCCTGAGAGTAACTGTTGTCAGAAAATGTAGATTTATCTTCTATTATATAGTATTTTATCCTATTTACTCACTATAAAAGTTTTCACCCAGTCTGATTCATCTTCAAGGCCACACCATTGTCTGCAGGATGGTGTTTGTAGACCAGACATAGCTTCTTTCCATAACAAGCCAGATTCTTTCTTAAGGTTTATTCATAACATGTTACTGTCAACCAAAGTGTCTGCAATTTCTTTTGATTCTGACTACTTTCCATTGTTGTTAGTAAGAGGGAACAAATTCTGATCAGATCAAAACAGGTGCAGAATACAGTGCCGTTAGGGCTGTGTGATGATCTCAGTTTATTTAACTAGCATGCATAGTTGAATACTTTTTTCCCGCTACAATTTGGCCTTGTCAAGGCAGAATTCTCCTTGACTGCTTTTTTCCGAGGACAGCGATTGTTAGAAGTGTCAGGTACCACCTGGAGGAAGCAGTCTTCCAGCCTCAATACCCCGTTAGAAGGTTAAGGGAGTGAGGACTTAGAGGCTAAAAAGAAGGTATGGTAAGAAGATTTACGGGTTTTGAAAAAACAACAAAAAAAGAGAAAAAAAGTTTCAAATGATGAATGGAGCCGAGGGGACTTCAAAGAAACTCTCAGCTCCAGAGAGAAATGGGTTAAAATTAGAAGGCAAAGGGCAGTGTTTAAACCTGATACTAAAAACATTTAAACTGTATGATATATTAAACTTACACTATATTAAGTAATAAGTTAAGGAATTTTAATTTCAATGGTGCTTTTAAAGAAACAAAAAATCTAAACTCTTACAGGAAATTAATAACTCATAGCCTAAAAAAACTATTAAATTATTACAGAATGAAAGTAAGTAGGGCATAAAATAAGGTGAAATTAAAGCTTGTAAAATGGAGAAAATAATCCAAAAAACTAAATTACATTGAGAAAAGTATGTTGAGAAAAAGGCCAAAATTTGGTGATGAGAAAAGTATGTAGTGAGAGGAAAAGTGACTTAAAGTGGCTGAAGGATAAAGTGGGGCGACTGATTAAACGACATTCCTTTCCTGAAAAAGGTTTTCTTCTTTTATATGGTAAAGATAAACAACTTGATTTTTTGATTCATTTCAAACACTGAAACTCTTCCTTAAACTAACCACTTTTTTTTTTACTCCCTGCCTTTTAAACTTGGACTCCCTGAACGGAGCCGCTCCTTGTGGAATTCAGACCCCCACTCCCATCACCCCGCCACAGAAAGACAGCCTGCTACAAGCATCAATCTCCTGCCACCCCCCAACGCACACACACCGTCACAGCAACCGGATGGAAATGATGAGTTAAAATAAGAGGAAACAAGACAAAATGGAGGATTTTCATCTGCTCTGAACCCCTGACCCTAATAACTCACCTGAGCTGCAACTTGCTCCCCAATGTGTGTGTGTGCAAGAACCATGAGGACAGAGACACTGGAGACATTTTTTTGTCGGGAAACAAGGAGGAGGTGCATTAAAAATAAGGCTTTCCTTATCTCTGCTACTAAAAAAATTTTTAATTAATGAAATATTTGTTCTTGTTTGAGAAGTGGCTAACCCTGTTTAGACTGAGGTGGGGGAGCTCCAGGACTGAACCCGCCTGGAGGCAGCAGTCAGTAAAGGGTAAAGTGATCGAACATATATTTTAGTTTATTTTCCATTTCCATGGACTTCCAACTATTCAAGAAAGCTTGGCAACTCTCTCTTGCTGACAGACTGACTTTCTTGACATGACTTTTATCTGTGGGAAAATGAGGGTGATAATGTACGGTCTGGTTGGCTTTCACTAAACAATGATTGTTGTAGAGTCAGTATAATCATTTCTGATCAAATTAGATCCATCCTTAAATATCTAAACCAAAAATTATCTTTTTAAAACAAAAAGAAAAAAACTCAGCAGCAACTACCTTTCCCTTCAGGACTGGAAAAACAAAAAGTTTATTATCAGGCCTGTGGTTGTTTAAAAACAGGACGGGTC